AGCATCCTGTTGTTCGGGGGAAACCAAATATGTTTGCCCTATCTTGTTCGATTCCGGAATCATTCAGCAGCTCGAGAAACAGAATTGAAGGCAACTCCCAGCCAGCAGGTCTTTCAATCTGTGACTCTCTGATCAGCCACACATTTGGCATATGAGTGTAGGAAACTCCGGCCTCATGATCCAATCCAAAGGCTTCCGCCAGAGACTCTTCTCGATGGCCACGGTGTAATCATCATGGATATCCTGCCCGTCCTCGGAGCGAAACGAATCGCAAGTCGGCCGCATGGACTCCTTGACACAGGAACCATCCGAAAGTTGACTCCAACTTGCTGATGCGAGCCAGGCGAAATCAATCAGATGGCGAACCGCACAACCTGGCTCCATCGCAACTCTCAAATTTGGTCTGGGATCACAAGCAACTAACCTGGAATCTGAGATCTGCAGTGCCTCTTGGGAAAAGCTGGTCGCATTGCCAAGTTGACCAATGATATTCTCCTGAGCAGCTGCTCTCTGAGTCGATAAAGAACCCATTCAATGTCTGCGGACACCTCAAGATCAACACTTCCGCACCAGCCAGCGTGGACAGCCCCTTAATGGTCGGTTCACATTTGTTTATCGTTTACAACCAACCAAACGGAGGTCCCCCTATAGCAGAAAACACACCATGAATATCTTAGAAGGCTTCCATGGGTTCCCAAGAGGAATCAGCGCTTTTGACACAAGTGCAAGTCCCTGAAATACAAACCGAAATTGCCAAGCAATGATTACCTGAAACTCATTGCAGGTGCCGAAAGAGGAGTCCTTCGTTGGACCCGAGAGAAGAGACCCTTCTGTGCTACTTGAGGGCAGCCGCTAGAATCAGCAAAAAACCACAAAGGATGCAGGACGGCCAAAAGGCAGACATGCACTGCTTTGACCCTGATCAATATGGTGATGATCCAAAACTCCTAGGTTCCAGTTGGGCAAGGTATTGGACAAATGCTTTGAGGAACCTCGTGGCCAAACGAGGAATCGACCCCTCCAAATGGCAAACAGTGTCACGTGCTTCAAAGATATGTGTTCCCCATGAAAAGTTTTGAAGGTGCTCGGTTTGCAGGTGTTGAGTCGGACCAACGGAAGACTGGCGGTATCGTCAGTTGCTCATTTGAAGTCCGTATAAATCATTCGTTCCCGCAAAAAACAAGAAACAGTTGAGTGGGCCCCCCATGTGCTCCCAAACTAACAAATGGTCAACTATTTTTGGCAGTTGACCTTAACACTGGACGGCTGGAAGCCTCCCGAAGCTGTGCATGCCACGGTGCAGAGGTCATGAGACCTCAGCAAGAGTTCATGTCCGGCCGCCCGTGAGCTCTAAGAAGATTCCCCGGTCAGAAGGAGCAATTCATCAAATCTGAAAGTTGGCCTTCCCAATGATTCAGGAGCTTGAAGTCGGCCCCTCTGGCAGTTGTTTGAGCTTGGCTGGTGCCGCCCTTGTCACAAAGACTTGAATCATTGACTCTGTAATACAAAGATCTCGCAACCCATCAAATGAGGGAGTCCACAACAACTAGTTGGCCAACCAAGGTGAAGTGGGCACAGCTAAAACTTGAGAGATCCCTGAAGTGTCGTGCCTGGAGGGCGGTCACGGCCTGTTTTGCTCTACTCCCAGCTGCCTACCCGCGAAATCTGCATGCAGCAAACAATCATCTACCCTCCACTACTCATATTGCTGCTTCCCAAGACCAAGGAGAGTACAGAATACACGGACACCAGTTTTCAGCTGCCCACCGCAGGGTCTCTGCCTGGCCTGACCGCCTGCCCCCTCGTTGCAGCTTCGTTACGCCCCACAATGAGCCGGATGAGGTCGGGTCGACCTCCCAGGCCCAGACCCACTGGTTCGAATCAACCCTAGCTTCTATCCCAAGGTCCAGGACCCCTTTCTGGGATGTCTACCCAGGACATGTAAAGAATCAGATGGTTGATGGTCGCCTGCAAACTTGTTTGCTGATCTTTAGCACGTCTGAGTTCATCTAGCTCTTGAGGATGACCCGATTTGGGCGCTGTGGCAGGTGCGCTTGATACAATCAAAGCACTCAACTCACGTACGCAATAAAATATAATATATGCCTGGCTGACAAGGAAATAGACTGCTCCAAATTGTAAATGTCCTAAACAAAACATCTGCAAGATGATGAATCACTTCCGTTGCAAGCATTGTGGGGGGACGGAAGCACAACATCGACTGATGGCCGAACCCGCTTCTCAAAACAAAGCCGAATCAATGGTAGTGAGAAACAAAGGAGGACCCCCTCTTCTATTCTTTCCTGGAAAGTCATTGTTCCGTGACAGACCTGATGTGTTGTGCCAGGGTGCTTGGCTCACCCTGTTCAATCCGTTGATCTTGCTGCTGCCTCAAAAACAACTCTATCCTTCATCGGCATACACTCCCCATGTCTTGTCTGTTAGCTGGTTTGTTGTTTTTCCCTGTCGAACTCGCTGTGTCTGCTTGTTATTGGCTCACCATGCCCTCTTTTGTGCCTAACGGCTGGACACGGGCAACCCCCTCCCATCCCCTCGCGTAGATTGCTGCTCCCCGAAACGCGGTTTGAGGCTATCGCTGCGCCTCTGGCCTGGCCCAACCCAAAAGACTTCCACTGGAGCGCTTGCTGATGCTGCTCAGTGATCCCCACAACCAAAATTACGCTGCCTTGTTGCCCCACGAGGATTAACTGGGCAACCAAGACATGTAGAGTCTGCACGAAAACGTATTTAAAGCCCTAATCCAGCAGCAAGGCAACGGCCAGAATTGCACAGCATCCGGGAGCTCAAGTTGGTCAAGCATTACCATCTAGAAAATATATGTGTATTGATTTGCGCCTGATTAACGAGTGTGTTGCTTATGATTAAATCCCTTGTAGTTGCAAACAAACTCCAATACCAAAGCTTGTTCACTGCACATGTGGCAAACGAGTGCAAGTTGTTCGTTGCCATCTGAGGTTTTGTAAGAGCCATATTGTGTTCTTCGTTGCTTGCAATCACTGGGTTAAACTGTTTAAACTACAAGAATATGTTAACGCCCACAAGGGGAGGATGCAGGCAACCCCACACCACGGAGACCGGCGGCTGGACAGCCTGGAATCTGCTTGAAGGAGCGAAAGTCGCTCGGCCGCGTGTCCGCCAGCGCCTAGCCGTCAACATTCGTTCCTACCTGCTATGGTGACTGGGTTCTACTCTTTGGGTGTGTGCTGTTGAAAAAAAAGGACAAGCAGACATTCAAGGGAACCGCCGAACAGGAGCGAATCCAACTGATGACCTAAATACCATAGCGGCTGCCTGGCATCTCTGGCTGGCTAATGAAAACGGCATCCGCGAACTACAGTAACAAATCACCATGAAGCTTTGGCGAATCAATCTGAAGGCTTCACGAGCGGAGTGTGCAAAAGTCCCCTTTGAAATGCCGATTCATGATCAAGTTGCTTGCAACGACTTCCATCTTGATTCTGATCATGCAAGTGAAATAGCCGGACTCAAATGCGATGGACGGCATGTGACACTGGGCCGACTGGGAAGTGAAATGATGGGAGCGGCCAACAAGCAGGGGGAAGGGAAGATCGCCCTGCAAGCTGGCAAAGGAGTTTCCTGATCGCATTGGCTCAGTTCTCTTTAAAATTCGTGTGTGTGTATGTATATATATATATATGTGTACACATAATCTTTGCACGTACATATGGTAGGGGCGATTGACTCGCAAGTTGGGTGTACCCAAAAGCTGGGTCAAGAAAGCAGGACCCTCCAGCATGGGTTCCACATTGGGTTGAGACCTCCTCATATCTCCTCGTACCTCTCCGCGCGAATCCGCGGTATCGAGGCAAGCGCGGTGACGCGCTGGCCACTTCGAAGCGCAGAACGCGGGGGGCCCAACTCTGGAGGAAGTCTATGGGGTGGGTCGCATTTGTTGAAACAACCAACTGGCTCCCTTCAACAGTTGTTTCCATAGGTGCTTCGACATGCTCGAACATGTTTGAGCACCAAGGATACACGCATATATATATATATATATTGATACAGGGTCCCTGCAAAACTGTTTAATATTTCAGGGTAGACTAACTATGCTCCTGCTGCTTAGTGGAATGTGCCAAAATCCGCGACAGTTTGACAGTCGTGCCTTGGTCCGGGGCACAAACTGCTGGGAGTCTTTTGACACTGCCTCAGCTGTGAGTCGGTTCAAAGAAATACATCTCCAAGAATTGCCATGGCAGGAACGAAGTGAATCAGTGCTTCAAATGCACACCACTGTCAGGCTCGCTCGCCTGGTAGCATATCATGCATTGCCGTATAGTTGCGACCAGAAATGTCAAACATAAGCATCATTCCTCTGTCCATTCGCCCAAGGAAAGGACCTATCCCGTGCAGGGTAGAAGCAAGAATCCGCGGTGTGTGGGTGTGCAATTTAGACAATAGATCCCCGGTTTCATTCAATCTTCCGAAACAATGGCGCCAAAGGCATGAACAAAGCGAATCTTGTGTCGCAAAACCCAGATATTTGGATTCAAGCCAAGACTTGGCTTTGTCTCGGTTCTTGGTCTCGGGATTGGAGTCTTTGGGAACCTGTTTGCTGCCGAGCTGCCAGCTCCTTTGTCATAGTCATGGCTCTGGAGAACCCCCCGAGTTGAGCACGCTAGGGGGTGCCCCGAATCGAGAAGGCTGCGGGGGAAAGGCATGAGAGTGCACCTCGACGGAAATTGTCCTGGCCCCGAATGAAATGGGCACACCGTCCAGAGCGTTTGTTGAGCAAAACCACAGATGACTGCAGGGCTTTTGGATTGGATGGCTTAAGGCCCGAGCAACCAAGTGAACAAAAGGCATAATGACATGATGCGCAAATAACCACCAATCACCAACTGGACAACATGAACTTTGACCAGTTTGTGTCCAACAGCCGCAACCCATCCATTCCGCTGCCATGACAGCTGGCATGGCCGCACTTGACGTAAACATCCTGCCAGCCGCCACCGGCGTGCCTCTCCAGCTCAACGGTGTGCGCCGCCTCGAGGCCTGACAAGCCATAAAAGCGGGTGGGTCAGGGGCGGGTTTCGTGGGTTTAGGATTGTTTGGCGTGGTTTAGGCGTGGTTTCGGCTTGGGTATGTGTCAAGTGGGGATTGGGACCTCGAAGATTTGAGGGTTTACTTTTAGTTTCTATTCAAACCCACCTGAAAAGGATACCCTCAAACAAGCACATACCATCTTAGTACCGCCTTCAGAATCTGAAAAAGAATCCAAGACAAAAGCGTGTCTTATCATATATATATATATATACATAATATCGTTGAGAGGCGGGAACGCTCCCGCTCCCCATCGATGAATCCATGTCCTTTCCATGTCCGTCATCGTTTTTTTGGTGACTGCCCCAACCAAAGAGCACCTGGCAACCCCCGGTACCATAAGAGTGGCGCAGACTTGCCAGATCCTCGGCTGAATATCAGAAAATAAATATCCAGCGTTGCAGCCATAGTTCTGGCGATCTTTAAAAAAAAAAAAAAAAAAGTGGCCAGAAGCTTTTATCCCAGCTTGGGGCACCCGGCGAGCGACAAGGCCTTGCACCGAGAAGTGCTCTGCCTAGTGTCTCCAAATTGGGGCACATGGCGGGCGGCAGTTTCCCATCGGTTTCCATTTGCTTTCCTATTGGCGTCCGCCTCCCTTGTCACTTGTGAAAATTGGCCGGCCTAAAATGCTGCCCGTGGGTCACCCGAAGGACTGCCTTTGGGGCCCCTGCGAAGGAGAGTCCCCGTGCCAGACGCTCTGCGCCCGCCAGCCAGTGCCACACCTGGCTCAAGTCGGCACCCAGGACATTTGGCTGCACGTGTGGTCCGAAGATGGCTTTCTGGGCCCTCCCGCCAAAGTGGGTTGAAAGTAAGCTGGCCATGTGTGGAAGTTTGAGCGTTGATTGGGCTTATGACGGGTGATTTGTTTTGTCATGTACTGCGGTGCTATGTGGTGGTCAATTCGCATCAACTAGTTGGTTTGTTTGGCTGGAGCCTTGCGAGACAGCCAAGATGTCCATGTATGATGGACTTGCTTGAACCAGCGAGCCAGCCTCGTAGGCACCAACAAGCAGAAACGCTGGAGGGCCTGGGGAGAAGAGTTTGAGGTAGACTTGTTGGGTGTTAAAGGCTTCATGCCTCCTCCTTCAGGTCGCACCTCCTCCACTGGTGCCTCGGACATTGGCCCCCGTGCCACCTGGCGAAGGGCCCCATTCCTCAAAACATCTCACTTGTTTCGGGAGCTGTTCATAGCTGTGGCTCCCTCTCTCTCTCTCTCTTTCTCTCTCTCTCTCTCTCTCTCTCTCTCTCTCTCTCTCATAGCAAATTCAGTAAGAGGATCTCTGGGCAAAAGGGTATCCGCCATGGGAATTGACTGGAAGGTTGGGGAAGCAGAGCTGCCAACCCCATCACACATGTCGCACACATCGCACACATCACCCGGCCCTTTGAAAGACCCTGGCCTCCGCCACAAGCTCAAGCATGGCGTCGCTCCAGCCTCAAAGCGTCAGGGGCTGGCGAATGCCTAGGGGCCCTTCCTGCCAGGTGCTCCTTTGATTTAGTGGCATATTTTTGGAGATCCCTCGCGGCAATTTCTGGGACTGGAGCTGGCGTGTTCCCACTCTCAAAGGACCAGAATGCAGTTTGATCGAGCCACGGTGTAGATCCCAACAGAATCATCCTTGTGGAAGACATTCAGGTGGGTTTAGACCCAAACTCCATCCACCCATCCCTTTGAGGGCCTTGAAGCCGACCTGTCTATTGTTTCACCAACAGGAACAGGACAATGCCGGATCCCAAAACCTTGCGACCAAACGGCCAGACACGGCCCTGCAGGCAGCCTCAAAGTCACCGCCCTAGCGCGAGACGGGGCACCAAATTCTGCATCCATCAGCAACCCACGCTCTAAGCTAAGCATTTTCGAGAACGCAAGCTCGCCGAACAGAACTGACACACTTGTACAAATGCTGGTAAGTCGATTTCCTCGAGTCAGCAGGAACAGGGCTGTGATCAACCTATCAACCCCTGGGCTACAGGTTCAAGAGTTCGTTGAACGTTGCAATGTTTGGCAACCAGGAGGAAGACTCGGGGACTCTGCAAACCTTTAAACTAAAGCGCCAAGGGCCTCACGAGGACTTTCATCCGACCTTGTTCCTTTCGATCTCTCTGCAGGGCCTTGCTTGCGTGTGTTCTTTAACAGGTTGCATAAGTCAAGTATTTGTTCCCGCGCGAAAGGAGGCTTTTCGTGCACACGCGATGCTGTTCACATGGCAAAGGCTGTGCTGAATTTGGCCTGGCGTGAATCTTCGAGTCATAATAGAAACTACGCAACGGAGGTCTGGAGGTCGCAGGCTTCGGAGGTTTTGTCTAGCGCCACGCGTGAATCTGAACTGATGTCACGTAGCAGCCGGCTGGCGCTCACGTTGGTTCGCTGGCGGTGGTTCTGATTTGCCAGTGAGGTCGTGTGGGTTCTGTGTAAGACGCTAAAGTCCCGGTCGTGTTCAATCAATGCGCGTTTGTCTTGGCATTCAGGAAGGCATAAACTTCTGCTTTCAGAAACCGCGAGCACAATGGAACATTGTTCTCTGGTCCCTTCGGATCCACCATTTGCTGGCACACGGGGGCCATTTGTTTCTAAGTTCCCATGGCTTCGGATGGGTGTCCTTCTGCAACTCCGCTTGTCCGACCTGCGACACCAGTGCAGTGAGCAGCTCATCCGCCTCGCGAATCGATCAAAAGAAGGAGACCCCAATGGACACGTGGGTTCGTCTCAAAAGGAGAACCCGAAATGGTTGGCTTGCTTTTGGCCATTGTTCAAAACGAACCAAAAGAGGCCTCCGCAAAAACACGGACACGCCAAACATCCGTAGTTCCATTTCCAATGCTGTTCACAACTGTCCCTGTTGAGGCATGACCAGCCTTTCAGCCTCAAGTACAAGGGACAGGGGCACGAAAACTCTTGGTATCTCTTCGATAGCTTTTGCCGGGGGGCTCAACGCGGCATGGCAAAATGTCTGTGCTGTCCAAAGGTATATTGATATGTATTTATTATGTGGTACCAACAATAGCAAAACTAATGATAATAATAATATTTGTATTTGCATTCGCATGTGCATTGGTATTTCTAGTCGCATGTGTGTGTGTGTGCCCATGCGTACTTGCATTGCATGTGTACATTCACTTGTTGTTGTACTTGTCACCTTGTCCTTGTACTTGTACTTATACTTGTTTATGCTTGTGTTGTATTGCATCTGTATTTGTATTTGTAATTGTATTGTATTGCATTTGTATTGTATTTATACTGTATGTTGTATTTGTATTTCCATGTCTATTGTATTGTATTGTATTGTACTGTGTTGCGCTGTATATTGCAGTCTACTGTACTGTATTTTATTGTATTGTCGCATACTCAACCCCCTTTGACAGGAACCTCAACACTGACACCCAAAGACGGCTACTTTCGGTCGAGGACGTCAAATGGTTTTCAAGAGGTGTGCCTGTAGCCACAAGTACACTTTTGTTCTACCAAGAAGGCTTACTCTACCCTTGCGCTTGGGAAATTCGCAGAGTATCAGCCTTGCACAACTGCCCTTCAATGACTCCAGGACAGCTCATGTGCGCACCCATTCACCTTCAGGCCGGTGTTGAACAAGGGAAAATCTCAAACATATTGACTTCTCGTGCTCTGACCCTTTTGCGTGTGGTTTTGGCCACCATGCCCAGCCTGAGACACGCTGGGCGGGAATTTGGACAACAAAGTCGCCTGCAAAGACCACGGCTGCCGGGCTGGGGGATTGCCACCAAACATTCAGAGTGCCTAAAAAAATGGCGAAACGTGTTTCTGCAACGTTAGCCATGGAAACGAACGCACGTGTCCAGGTTGCCCCACACGTTGGGCTTCTTGAAGTGGACAGCCATGTGCAACAGTCACCGCGCTTTGATTTGGCCCACGCCAGTGGTGCTGGCAATAAAGTCTAACAGCAGACCCAAGCAAAACAAACAGCAGTATTCACCATTCCTGACGGCATGCACTATCTCGTGGACTTGTCTCTTCCACTAAATAATATTATACGCGAGACCATGAATTTGTGCTGCAATCAAAACCGAAGTTTCAAGATGGATTTGTCCGTGGGGCAAACAGTTTGACTTACCAAAAGAAATAAAATTCAAGGTCGTTGATATTCAGACCAAAAAAACTTCCAACAGCCAGGTGACAACGATCTTTCAAACGTCAACCGCACCGCAAATCAGCTCCCGCTCCTGCGACTTTGGCAAGGGAGGTCGAGCTGACCTGAGCAATCAATTTGCAGAGTATTGCGTGCCAAACATTGGGTTTACGTTCACAGCCAAGTGCCTTGTGTTTGCAGCTCAAGCAACCAGAAAGATTGTGTTTCGCCTCATGAAAGGCTCAGCTGTTCAGAGTCGCATTGCGGTCACATTCTCAGACACAAAAAAACAAATGATGCTGGCCACTCAACTGTCCTTTGAAAACCTCAGGTACTGCAAAACCGCACGTACTTGCAGAAATGTTGCAGAACGATTTGGTCACAATGCTGGGCACAAGGCATCCTCCCTCATCCAACAAACGAGGGTGTAAACGCAGCATCTCAATATCAGGTACGCTGCATTCCACACAACGCAAAACCTCACGCTAGCTGGGTTGCATGTATTCTATACTCATACCGTATCACAAACAAGTGATGCAAATCCGATTAAGACTGCGTGAAGAATAGATGTCCAATATGCATATGTCTCTGCCGAAACGAAACTGATGAACCCAAATCGCCGGGCCACACGCAAGCTAAGCACATAGCATGCATCAAAAGCCGTTGCCATGAGCATCAAGTTCATAAATGCGGAAATACGTTTCACGTGGATCAGAAAATGAACATCCAATGCCAGTACACATGTTGATATCCTGCGTGGGTGTTACTCCAGCCATGCACCATGTTTGTTCTCGTTGACATCATTTCATTTGCTGTTTTGCATGATCATCTTTAGGAAGTGTCTTCGCATCACAGCACTGGGCTGTGGTCAAGCTGCTGTTCCTTGCGGCCTCTTGTATTCGCTGACTCATTTTCAATTGGTAGCCCCATGCCCACGTCCTGCAGCTCACTAGGACAACAACTGGCAGGCTCCAATTCATATCATCCCATGCCAACTGAGGATGACACGTGTTTTGCAGCTTGCTAACTAAGTCTTTGCCTAGAGAAATGACGCATTCCAGGATTAGGGTCCACGACGCACGCTCTTTTTTATGTTTGCAGGGATTCCGCCCGTCTGGGAGTTGTCCCGATCGAGTAAACCACCAATCAAGCCAATCACAGCGCCCAGCCCGGAACGAAACCACCGAATCCAAGCCACCAATAAAAACTACAACCGGAGCAAAAAACCAACAAAGCAAAACAGCACAACAACACAGAAACAAAACACAAACACGGAGAGAAAGTTCCAACAAACAATTCACGCTTGGCAAGACGAAAGCCTAACCAGGCGACCAAACAAAGCGGAAGAGCGAGTGAAGAAGCCGCATCGTAACTGCACCACAATTACGGTTCACCCGTTAACGAGACTCTTTACAAATTACAGCTAGGACGACACCCGGAGGATGCCTTCGCACTTCCGGTGAACTGGATAAATTGAATTCAAGTGAAAATCCTGAAACGCCCAAAAGAACCATGTACGCTCCACTTGTGTGAACCGCCGCCTTGGCTTGGCCGCCGCTTTATCTGTGAAGACTCCGCCCAAAGCAGGCTGGTGCACAAAGGTTGTATTTGCAAGATGTAATGTTTCTTGATGGCTCATTCGCCAAGTTTCGAAGTCTGCCCAACATTCCAACTTGAAAATCGGGTTGTTTCCCTTGTGGAGTAAGTGGCTTCCTTAGAAAAGCTCTTAATGCACCACCACAAATAGTCCAGCTTCCGGGCCGGCCAAGACAGGAACCGAAATCGGTCGAAGCCTTCAACTTGCAGATTTCCAAAATCCTGGAAGTCGGAGACAGCGGTCTGCTGCGCGCAGGACCTCCTTAAAATTAAACCGGTAAACCAACTTGGGTGCACATTGCCAATTTTAAAAACCCACGCACCACTCCGTCTGAATGGCACGACAGCTTGCAAACGTTGCACAAGTGCAGCCCATATGGAGAGCCACGGCCGGGGTGATGGCGCACTCCCCAGATGGTTTTGTGGACTGGTTCTCTAATTTGCGATTCAGTGAACACTTCTTGGATGAAAGACTTTCTGAAACCTTGTATGTGGAGCTTTTTTCGATCTTCTGACTGGACAACCACAAGGACATCCCCGTTCTTTGGAGAGGACGATGTTATTTGCAGCATTCTGTTGTATTCCGAGGATCTCTTTCATGCCTGGATGGAACATTTTAAGGTGGCTTGTGCATGGTACCAGTCGGTTGATGGCTCGCATCCTGGCGGCGCCACTGGGCATACAGGCTTTCATGAAGCCCTAGACGTGTGGTGTGCACAGATGCCTGCAGTTCACTATCAGCTCATCTCTCCAGTCTCTCTTAAGGAAGTGCCCGCGTGATCACAAGTGGCCGCTTGGGGAAAAAAACAAGGCGCCATGCGGTTGGGGTGCTTACTTTTCCCAGGCTGCTGGCCAAAACTTTGAACCCGCGTTTTTCCGTCTTTTGCGTTTTTCAGCATCTTCACCTGTAAGATTCACAAGACCCAAAGTTAGACAAGTGAAAAATGAAGTTGCAACCAATTCACTTGCACAAATGTGTTGCACAGAAGAGTCTCTGGACTTTGCCCAATGTGCACCAGATTCATTCAAGAATTCTCTGATGGGTGGGAACTCCTGATTTTTCAGCTGTTTACTCGCCAATTGGTGGTTCTTCTTGCTGGCATTCCTTTTTTCCCCAAGCGGCCACTTGCGATCACGCGAGTCTGCAGTTTCTCAAGAGAGACTGGAGAGATGAGCTGTGTGCCCAGTGGCGCCACTGGAATTCAAGCCGTCAACCAACAAGACCAGTGCGCTGCCAACTAGACTGCCAGCACCCGTTCTTCTCCCTGGCATTTCGACAAGAAAAGCTCTGGTTCCCTTGCAGTTTCTTTTTGTGGCTTGCCTTTTTTATTTCTCCACAAGTCAATCGCGGCTAAGCATGCTGACAGGGACGCTGTGGGCACATGGAAACACACACCACATGACCGCAAACCAACCAGGCAATCAAAACCATCCAGCCACCAAACACCAGCCACCACAAGCGCAATTCACAATTGGTTGGACAGCGGCATGAGCAGCAGAAAACGAAGACAAACAAAGACGGCAACTTGCCAGAATTTTCTTCAGTAATGCGGACCATAAGAGGAGCTTCGAAGCCAGACTCTCTTAAGAAACTGCGAACCCGCGTGATCGCAAGTGGCCGCTTGGGGGAAAATTTGATGACTGGAGCGTTGGCCAACTTGCGGCAGCATCTCACCACTTCCACGCGGACGTGTTATCCACGCTAATGAGCGGCTGCAACTTGGACTTGGGGCGCCAAACGGACGGCGACATGTTACCAGTATGCCGGAAATCTTGAAGTGCACTCTCATTGAGCTGATGAGAGCCATCCAGGAAGGCTCTTGATGAATCAACATGAAAATTACAAAACAAAAACATTTGCCATCTGGTTTTGCGCACGTATCCCGGCAAACTTCTGACCATCAGCGTCAAAGCCTCTTTGGCCGCCGCATCAGCAATATCATTGTAAAATTCAGGAAATCTATCTCTATCCTGTGGAATCCTTGATCTCTCTCTCTGTAGAGGGGTTTCTCCAAACGCGTTTTAACGCAGCTACGGGGCTTCTCACGCTCGTCAGACCAGGAAATGACCGTCCGCCGAGATTTCGCAGGAAGCCTTGGGGCTGCACTATAACGACCCTCTAGATGCGTGCAATTTCCCTGCGTTGCGTTTCTGCAGGCCGAGCTTTGAGGGCTCCAAAAACTTAGGGTGAAAGAAAAGGTTCAAAAAATTGAACGGTGCAAAAAACTAGACCACGGTTGGCCCGAGAGCACAACATCGCAAGCGAGGTCGGCCAAACGCTGCAGG